TCATCATGGTCATTTTAAAGGATCGCACTATTATGCTTCTCTCAAACAACTGATAGTTTGAGCACTTCAGCACCTTGGACAGCTCCATACATAAGGCAGTGACCAATCAACATGTCTTGAGTCACCCATCACTTCTTTGTATTTTGCTTCCAAGGAAACATACTTTGTTAACTTTTTTAACATTTTCTAGAGCAAAGGTTCTGTAATCTTTCTAAAAGTTGGTCTGTGGACACTGGTTGCTTTTTCATTCATTTTTTAGACAATAAAAAAGAAAAATCCAACAAAGACCTAACGCAGGACCTGAGATAGACATCTGGTCCTGCAGTTGATCATTAGAAATGATCTCAAATGAATAGTGACTAAAGAAAATACTCTTAAAGGAGGGAAACTGGGAGAAAAGACTGAGGTGTGTCAACTATACAATTACTGGACTAAAAATAAGTGGGAAGGTCTTATGGAGTGATGAATCCAAATTTTAACATTTTGGAAGTCAGGAGAGAGGTACAACAGTCTTTACAGCCATCTGTAAAACACAGTGAAGGTTCAGCCATTGTTTTGGGTTTGATTTCAGCAAGTGGTGTTGGCGATCTTTTCAAAACTGATGGAATCATGAATGCAGACAGGCAGCATCAGATTTTATCCACCATGCAAAAACAAAAAGCATCTCATCGGCACTGGTTTCAAGTTTCAGCATGACAATGATCCCCAAACAAACTGTTAATGTGGTAAGATCATCCAAGAAAGATCAAACAATGAAACATTTTGTACCAACTCTGATTTTGCCTATATACTGTATTTCCAAGTTAGTTTCTATGTGTCCGATAATTCACTGCACATATTTCCAATTTTCCTGGCAAAATATGGAGAAATGAAGCTTGGCTCAAGACTCTTGCACAGTACTGTACACGTCCTTAATGTTGACAAAAAAGAACAACACTAGCTGCAAGGTGTGTCCAAAATGTTCGACGTTCACAAACAACACATGCACATGAGCACCATACTGAGAATCAGTACAGGATGTCACTCAACGCTGCCCTTAGTGTCTTAATCCCATGTGTGACTTCATGGACCGGAGCACTAAAAACACACTGCAACATCCCAAGCCAATTTCTCTGCCTACAGTGTACAACAGCAGTCGCTGGTTTACACAAAACAATTCAAACTACCAGCCCTCTAATTAAGTGTTGGAAAAATGCTAAAAAGGTTTAGCATCATTAGGTGTGACGTTTTCAGGCTTAGAAACGAGGAAGCACTGTAGGCAGAAAAGGAACTTTCGTTAAAATTTAAGGGAACTGACAAAATAATGTATCAAAGGCAACAAGGCCTAAAATAAGAACCGGCCTCCCTCTGTCTCTCTTCCTCGTGGTGGCACAATAAACAAGATGTTCATCAAAAGAAGGAAAGCCTAGTTTGGAAATCAGCCCCAAGAGACATTGATACTAAACCAACCCTTTCCTGTGATGCACTGTTATTTTCCCTACAAAGAAAGTGAGCTGGGTCCCACAGAGGCAGTGAGTAGAGTACGGTATTTTCTTTGGAACAAACAGCACTGCAGCACATCAGCTAATAGAGCCTGGCTCCCAGAGGGGAGCTCAATATAGGACACTCTTCCTCTTCCTCCACTTGAGCTATTAATACACCCAAACAAAAGAAAAGAGGCTTAATGAGGCAGCAACGGGGAACTCATGCGAACTAAGTTAGACGAGAGCTTTGTAGTGTTTAGCTCCAAGGATTCCAGCTTTTTCATACTGGGAATCTTTTCCATCTGTTCCATTTCTACAGTGGCTGACGTTATGGGAGTAAAAGTACAGTAAACACTGATCAGCCAAAACATTAAAAACACTCTCTGCAATGTTCTGCTGAGAAAACTTGGATCGCACCATTCGTGTGGATGTTCCTTCACCGTACGCTTCCCACCGAAATAACTGCTTATCCCAGCAGGACAGTGCACCTTGCCACACCACAAAAATTAAACAAAAAAACATGAGAAAGAGCCCAAGGTCTTAAACTGCTCTCCAAACTGACTGACAGCAGTCCATCTGCCCTGTCCCAGAAACTAACAGCATCTCACGTCTGTTCTCCAACATGTCAGAGCTGTTTCTTCTGGCACAAGCTGGACATTACACAATATTTGGTGTTGTAGACGATCAGCGTATAGAAATTTTGTTACACCTTTTTAAGCACTCTGCTTAAACCCATTCAATGAGGTCTTTGTGAAATGGCAAAACAAGCAACACAAAAGTGTAAAAGAGATGCATAGATTTAAGCATGATAATGTGCTGGGTATTGATAGTATTGATTCCATAAAGAATCTCTGAAGAAAACACATTATGTGCTGTTAAAAAAAAAAAAAAAATCATCTGTACTAAAAAATATCGTTCATTGAATGGACCAAGAAAAGAAACTCGAACAAACAGAAAATGTGATATATGAAGCTTTTTTTTTTTTGCATATTTGCATGAAAGGTCATGTCTCATGCAGCTTAAAGCAGCTACTTTGAAGTTAATGCTTTGGTTCTGATTCAGAGTAAAAATGGAAGAGGATGACAGCGTGTGTTTAAATGCACACAGTAGTCCAACTGAAAATCTGTATCCTGGCTGAGCAGGAGGATCTGATTCTAGGTAGCTTCACATACGGATCACCAAGTACCCCACACAACAGCAAAATACAGTATTTCAATTATTACAATGAAAACAGACAAAGACGTAATTTAAAAAAAAAAAAAAACAGTTAACAGAGCATGGCATTTTTTTTCCCCTAACTATCCCAACTAACACCAGAATTGTAACACTGGGATATTACAATATTTAGGCTATTGTAACAAGGGGTTTTGTACACCCATCACAATTTTAAACAGTAAAAGTCCCGAATTGAAAATTGGTTAAGCAAGTAAACAAACTCACATTAAATCAAGTAAGAATCTGCCCCCCAAAAAAGCCCACAAAGGCAAATAAAGGAAGTGGTTGATGTTTCGGGTCATATCATGCACTGGGGACCTAATACTAACAAGATATCTGCCTCAAAGTGCGAGCTGTCACACAGTGCAAAGATCACCTTTTCAGTCATGCAGTACAACATGGTAAATAGAGCAAGGACGGCATCAATAGTAAAAAGAAGCATGTGGTAGGGATGCACTGATTGTTAACTTCTGGGCCGACTGGCAAATTCTGATGTACTTATTCCACCTTCTGTTCCAGGGAAGCAAAGAAATCTTCACTATAAATAAGCATAACTGAACTTGAAGTCTTTCAACGCTTCATCACACTATACTTGAACAATAAGCCAGTTAAACACTGATATGATTCGCACATCAGACATTTTTAATTGCTGAAATGAGTCAACAAGGCCCACAACAGCCAGATACCAACATTTGGCTAATATAATCAATCAGTGCATCCCTAATTTGTGCTCAACAACTTGTAATCATCAAAGTTAGGCATTTTGCAGTAGTTTTATGACTGAAGACAAAACGGGGCTACTTTTGCTCTACATTGTCTCCAAATGTCCTAGTGTCTGACCGTCTTTAAACGCAAACATTGCCATTCAAATGCAGTTTGGCACATAAGCCTTCCTTTAATTAATATTTTTTAATCTAAAAAAAAAAAAAAAAAAAAGGAGGTCACTTGAAACTGCCCTCAGGCATCTTGGTTCCAAGAAGGCTCAAATCTCAAACTACTTGACGCATTCAAGCCTTACGCTAAGCTGATCTTCATTTTCCATTTGGGACATTCTGCTCAATCCAATTGGTTGTAGTGATAATGAGACAATTAGGTCTCTACTGCTTGGCTAAATACTGACTTCAGGATCAGACCACATGGAACAGCAGCAATGCTAAGTCCGGCAGTAGCCATACTCCCACATAAGAGACAAAAAAAAAGTCTAAATATAGCTGTTCTAGTCAGGTTGCACTGCCTCAGGCAGCAGTACTCGCTGATAAAAATCACAGATTTGGCTGAACATACTACATCCACATTTGGTTCTTACAAAAAGATGTGCACACATTTTCATCTTTTATATGAATCAGGAAATGTATATTTTTTAAGCCACTAAACAAATATCAATCTTAAAATTCACCTTAAATAATTAGGAGTACCTATAAAGAACTCTGGTTTCATGACTTTGACTCTTACGATGTATACAAAACAAACTAAAACTGACCTACTAGACTCTTCGATGTGTCTAACTAGAAAGATATATGAAAGACCATTTCACTGTATGGAAAGTTTTTTTGAGCTGATAGGAAAACACACACACACACACACACACACACACACACACACACACACACACACACA